TTTTCATTGAGAAAAACAACCGTGTAGGATAAAATCAAATACAAAAACTTAAACATTAAGCGATGGCCGACAGCAGTATGCCAAAACAGACTAACAGAGAAACACAGACCACAATTCACATAAGCGACCCCATATATTACATAAACGTTCCCCAAACATCAGGAACAATATGTAAGTTTTGAGGTTTTCACGGCGATGACAATGAAGAAAGTTGTCTTCTGGGTTTAGGCACCGTGTATTCTTCGTTTTGGCCGACGTTTCGGAGGAACGTAGCGCCTCCATCTTCAGAGCAGTTGAATAGCTGCGGAGAGCAGTAGCTGTGGTGATAGGATGTGGAAGGTGCTGCACCTTCCACATCCTATAACCACAGCTACTGCTCTCCGCAGCTATTCAACTGCTCTGAAGATGGAGGCGCTACGTTCCTCCGAAACGTCGGCCAAAACGAAGAATACACGGTGCCTAAACCCAGAAGACAACTTTCTTCATCAGGAACAATACATTACAATTTCATTTAAATTAGTATTTTCTACATGTGTCCGACATGTTATGAAAAACACCGGGATCGTTTTTGAGAGAAGAGCTACTCTGCATTTCAATCTCAATTTCAAAATAAAGTTCTCATTTTCACAAGACACTCTCCAAATTGTAATCCGTTAGGAATGGCAATATACATAAGGGCCAGAACATTCTGCAGACAGATACGGAGATAGACTATAATCGAACTGCCACTTCAGATATGCCTCTCCACAAATTTATACCACTTTTCATCAAATGGCCGTGCAGTGCGCGAAACAGGTCGTGACCGTATGCACATTTCGTATTTAAATCTCTGTCTGGTGAACGGAATTCTGAAACATTAATTTGTTGAGACGTCTGATGAAGCGATTTCGGGAGACTTGAGTACAATATCGTCTTATTACCAGCGCATTTCGCCTCTAAAAACATGTCCTCCGGTACCCTCAGGCCAAGGTCGAAACATACAAGGAACGAGCAGATGTGCAAGTTTGAAGATAGGCATAAACTGTTTCCCGGTATGAGTACAGGCATGTACGGGCAGGTAAGACCACCAAGTATTGCAATGATTAAATTCACATTTCATCATCAGCATTATCATTATCATCATCGTCGTCAATAATAATGGAAGAACATTAAACATTTCATATTTAGTTCATAAACACAATTCTAAACTAACCTTATATTCCACTTCTTCAACGCAAGGATTAGGTATTAGCATGTTCCGGCCTCATTTATGACTCCATCTCTTGCTCTGTCCTTCTAAATCTTTCCTGCTCGGTATTTTGTTGGTGAGAGCTCTTTTACGAAAGCTGGCTGAATCCATTCTTTGCAAAAGTTACTTCTATTTTTTATATGTTCTCTTATTCTTTCTGTTCAATGACGCAATTGCCTTTTCTGTCTCCATACCCCACACCCTTCTTCTATCTAATTCACTGTAACCCTTCATAGGCTGTAAAAATGCCATCGAAGCTACCAGTATTCTAGTCCAGTACTTAATCCTCACAGTCCAAGATTCACTGCTTTATAATAACAGTGGCACTGCCATAACTCTTTAGAACTTCAAAATTGTTTATGTTATAGTCTTTTTTCTTGGAGTTCTCGAAATAATTTCACATATGCTTTCAAACCTATTCGCTTTTCAGTTAACATCATAATAAACATCGGAGCCAAGGCAATTCAACTTTGTCACTCGTTCTAATATCACACTGTTGAAAATATCTGTGAAAAAAATTAGGCATCTTGTTTTGGAAGCTTGATTTTGCGGCGAGGACCTAAAAATCTCAGTCATTTCTAATCAAAGCAGCTTCCCGAAATTACGCTTCTAAACATGTGTATTGGTTTTCCTAAACTGCCTTACTGTGTTTTGGTACGCCTTACTCTTAACATGCTTTATGCTTTCTACGGTAAGGCAGGAGGAGAAGAATTTCAATGCATATGTTTATATTTGTCACATTGAGTAATAAATAACAGGAAAGCAACATTCAATCAATTCCTATTATTACTATCAATTTCATCGGTTTCCTCACAACTTCCTTAACGTTTGGGAGCCGGGGTAGCGCAGTTGGTACAGCGACTGGCTACGGGCTGAACGACAGAGGAGTCGGGAGTTCGAGTCCCGGTAAGAGCAAGAAATGTCTCTTCTCCACGTTGTCCAGTCGTCCAGACCGATTCTGGGGCCCGCCCAGCCTCCTATCCACTGGGTACCGAGACCCTTCCCTGGGGGTAAAGCGGCCGGGTCTTGAAGTTGACCACTCATCTGGATCTATACATCCACTCCCCCAGACGCCTTCATGGTGCAGTGCTTAATTAGTTAAACAAAGGGACGACTTTACCTTTTTCCTTTACCTTAACATTTACTGTTATTGTTTCTCTTCTTATTCTTATTACTTTTGCTCTTGTCTTTGTTGTGTAAGCTATATGCAGTGGTTTTTCCACTCTTATATTTCCGAAACTGGCCTTGTAGCTGCTATTTTTTTATGATTTTCTTTCTCTGAAATGCAACTATTAATACTGACGCTGTGATAATAGTACCTGTTTCTGTAATTGTCCTTGTAGCGTTGACTCGGCACATAAATAACACAAAACTGAATTGAACTGAATTGCATACATACAGTATTAAACGGAAACTTAATTTTCTGAATCCAGAACAGCATTTGCAACTAAATTTGTTTTACTGAAAACTAATTTTCAAAATGACGAGGGCCTGTAATTTATATGTCTATAACGGATTATTATTCTAAGACTGTATTACAGCTACAGGGTGTAGACATATATTTGCGGATACCAGTAAAAGTAACATTGTATTACATATAGAAATACGAAACCATGAACTCGGATGAGAATTTCACTTCACTTCCCAACACGACAGATGAATGTCACTATATGTATTAACGTTTTACTTAAATCTGAAATGAGCATCAGAAATAATTCAATAACACAAGCACTATAATTATGCTAAATCCACGAGGAGTTGCATGGTCACTTCTCCGTTATTTGTTTCTCTTATAATCCGTTTTTTTTTTTGCAGACCGACTCTTTTAAGTTGTTCTGTCGATTAAAATATTGCAATTTGGTTTGCGAAAAATGGTAAATTAATGTATAAACTAACCTTCAGAGACAAATGTAGTGCAGACACAAAATAGTTTTACAATTACTTTCCTTTCCTTCAGATACAGTTCTTCCAACTTTGTCAGTTTTACACAAAACTTATGTGGGGAATTTCCAGGCGCATGTGCCAATGAAATGTTATGAAAATGAAGCTTTTAATGTTTCTCTTGAAACGGAAACTGCAACGGTTTTCTCATAGAGAGCACATTACTCAAACGGAGTAGGTGAACATGCAGCTCCTCGCATTTTGCTACACCAGGGGTCTCAAATGTATGGCAGCTGCTGTGATACTGGACCGGCTGGTCAGGCCTTTCATACACCTCAGAGATAATGAGAGACAGATATTGTTGAATGACAAACGAAGAGGAGGAACTTAAAAACTCGGAGACGAATCTGCATTGCTACATGTTTGTCTAGCCCGGCAATGCACTCGACTTTCTACATCAGAAGCATAAGCTATGGCACTCTCTTAAACTCGAGTAGACTGTCGGTATCACAGGACAATACTGTCAGTTACTTCTCCCTAAATATTTTATTTAAAGTATGATCCAATTTTGCTATAAGACTTAGTATAAAGTGCCTTGTAACCTAATTCACTGATTTGCAATGTTTTGGAAAACTTTTCTATGCTCGTGACGTCACAGACTAACCCCAGGATCTTCTTTCAAAAGTTCGCCTCACATAGCAGGTCAATTAATTGCCTTGTAATGGGACATTAACCAGAGACCTGGAACTACTGGATTTTTGGAATTTGTCCATCGTCAGGTATTCTAAAGAACACAGCGTTTCGGAGACTGAACCTATTTCCGTCCTCAGGTGAAAGAGTGGGAGGCAACTGCTCTATTGGATCAGTTAGAGAGAGAGCTAACCTCAGTCACTAGACCAATCCGTTTAGTCCTTTGAATCAGTCAGCTATTTCCGACGGATCCAACACAGTAGGTGGCTTCCACCCTTTCACTTGAGGACGGAAACAGATTCGCTTTCCGATATGTTGTTCTTTAGAATACCAGACGATGGCCGCAGTCCAAAAACCCAGTAATCTCGAGTGTTAAACACCACTGTCGGAACCCCCTGGAATCTACAATAAGTTTTGAGGTTTCCATGGCGTCGATTGTTCAGATTGTGTCTTGGGGTTTGTTACACCGCACAGCTTCATACAGATACCGACGTTTCGGAAGAATATGCTGTCTCCACCTTCTGGGTTGAAGTGTGTACGGTTAGGGATTGGTTGATTTGTGTAGGTTGGTACAGCCTAAAGGGCTCTGACGATAACATATGTCACTCAGAATTACTGGGGTTTTGGGCTTTGTTCATCGTCCGGTATTCTAAAACCCGGAAAACACAATGTTTCAGAAACTGAACCTGTTTCCGTCCTCTGGGGGGGGGGGACACCCACTCCGTTGGGTCCCTTAAGAAATCACTGGGGAACCCATGACAGATTTACTACAGCAACTTAAATGCCTGAGACAAGCCATATCGAAATAAGATAAAAGCAAATCTGCAATGAATACTGTGGCAAAGTATGCACAGACGTGGAACTAAGACAGAAAGGGAGGTAAAATTTACACTAGGAAGGAAGCGCCATTCTCCTTCGAAACGTCGGTATTCGTCACAGGACAAGCTGTTACAACCGAGAAGATCACAACATGAAGTTATATTATACGCATCTCCAATTTTAATATTATTCTCCCATCTTAGATGGAAACTATAAATGGATTGTAAAAGAGTACGAGGCCAACCTGAGTTTCGGGCCGACAAGCGAACACTATGAAATTGTACAAAGTTTATGACTGATTAATAATTTATTTGACATGAAGTACTGCGCTTTGCCTAAGTTTGAGACCCCTGTGCTGTGTATAAGATGTGGTACTCCTTACGTTTGCAGCGTCCCTTGTAGGCGGCGGGGATGGCCTTGCCCTTGTGACATGCGGCCTCCTGCAGGTGACAGGAGCTCTGGTAGGTGACGCCATCTGTGCCGCACACCTGCCTGCTGGCGGACGGGCGCGGAGGGCAGCGCTGAGCGCATCTGACGCAGTGTGGACTCAGGTTCTGGTCGAGCAAGCAATGTTTTCCGGCCGGACATAGAATCCTGTCGCAGGAGCCTGCGTGAGTGAGGGCGGGCACACGCGGTTACACGGGCACACTGCCTCCTAGCTCACAAGACCTGCCTCAAGTCAGCACTTCTCACATGATTGCCACATGAAGGAGATATATGGGGTAGGATACGTGACCTGAAACCTCACCTTCATGCGGTGCACTCCTGTATTGACAACATGTGCCCTGGCTATCGACCCATGGCGGTAATGCATAACAGTATCTGGCGTAGAGGAAATTCCACTACCTAAACAAAGGTGCTCTAGTCATTGCGATAAAACCATTATGTCCGGTATGGGGAAATTTTAATTTTTTTAATTCGCTTAGTGGGGGGGGGGTGGAGTCCAACTGGGTCTACTCGGCACGGCGGCAATGTAGTCTGCACCTGGTGATGAGGATGGAGAATTTGGTGGAATGAAGATTGGCAGGGGAAACCGAACTTCTCGGAGAAAACACGCCCCAGCGCCACTTTGTCCACCACAAATCCAGACTCGGGATCGAACCCGAGTCGCCGCGGTGGAAAGCCAGCTACTAAACGCTTGAGCTATGGCGCGGCCTCTTGGGGAAAATTTAAGGCAAGCTAAAATTTGGTTCTGCACGTTTTGGTTTGTTTTGCTCGGTGTTTTTACAGTGGTTGATAACCAATGAAGTTGAGCTGACTTCGGAGACATTAACCAATAATAATCTGGTGAAAAATAAACGTGCTGAAAGAACGAAGTGTCTGTTTCCCAGTGAAAAGACACAGTGAAATGGAATAACTGTTAGAAGGTAGGGGGAAAAAAAGACTGCGTTGCTTCGCGTTCTTCCATATTGTAGAAATGAGACTGGAAATGGCATCTCCATAATCTAGTGCACAAAACTCCCAATGGCGATCTTTAGAACTCATTAAGCTTATCTGCTGTTTATTTATAAAAATCTGATAAACGGTTTAGGATATACATGAAAAAGTCCATTTGTGGCCTTCGTGCATACGGCTAAGAATGGGAATTGCCCGACATATTTCGCGAAAATATCCCACATCAAATTAAAGTACGTTCTAATACAAGGTCACAGACAGAAGAATAGATGGACTAGCCCTTCGACAGATTTTTACAGACCTCCAATGTAAAAATTCATCAAAATAAACACAAGAGCTATCGAGTTATGGGACGGCACAACCGAACAATAACCTAATCACTTGCGGAAAAGTGTATTGAGCATAAAATGCCCACTTTCTCTCTGTAGCCTTAATTTTAAACACATCTCTTTCCTATAAATTAACGCTAGAGATCCACATGGAAACACGGGAAGATTTTTTTCATAGAGTGTCAGTTAATTTTTCTAATAGCAACTCGAATTGTCCGACGACTTTTAATAGAAGTTAATCAAAATTCAAGTTTTGGCTCTGATACTAAGTCACAAACAGACGAATAAATCTGCACATAAAACGTTCTTTATTTACTTAGTCAATAACATATATGAAGAAAAGAATCATCGCATAGAATGGTTATTGTCATTTTCTCAGCTTTCCAGCGTTTTGTAGTCTTCCAGCCGGGAGCAATTTACATCAGTTGTGTATTCGTGCGTTCATATTATCACGATTTTAGTGACTATAGACGGAGTTTGGATTCGTAATAGGATTTATTAAACTAACTCTTACAACCCGTAACTACAAATACGGATTATGCTCTCTCAGTTCTACACATTTCACAAATCACTATAAGATACACTAGGTCTTCTCAGTCCGTTACAATTTTCATTATCCGTTGTTTGGTAGCGGCTTTCAACGGTGGTGTTCCGTTCCTCTGGTTTCCCGAATTATCCCCGTGCCTCGGCTACCAGCTTCTAACATCAATAATTCACAACGACTGAACTGCAGCAGTCCTCTGACTGCTCACCAATCAACTCACTTCACTCCAATGTACTCAACTGCACTGCACTCACTAACGGCACTTAACTCGGCCGGGTGAGTCATATAGCCTAAGAGCGGACCACATAGAAAACACCGCTTCCAACAGTACTTCCATTTTCGCGCGTCGGCTGCTGCCTAACAACGGCCACTGTCTCGTTGTTTGTTTCGCGGTCGTTGCCTAGCAACAAGTCTACATGCCATAAGGTCATTCAGGTTATTTTTCAGGAATTTAAACTATAAGTTTCAATATACTTACTAGTCTGACTGTACAATACACTGCGTACCGATACTATGGACATATTGGAGCTTCTAACTTGTTGAAATATAACCTAGTCAATTACTGAGCAATTAAGGAAATGTAACACTTTGAACAGACATGCTGAACTTCTGAAGCTGAGGGGCAATTGTGGCAGGCACTATCCACATCAACATGCAATATTTGACGTCCGAAAAGTGCGAAGCGATAAAAGGTCAGTAATATGACAAGGATCGAAAAACCGCAGCCCTCTGCTCACGGTCCTCATCGGTAATAATTTTAGAATAATTTCAGTGGCCCTTCTGTCTCAAGGAATAAGAATACTGGAGCTAGGGAACTGCAACTACTCTTTACCGCGACACCTAAAATGAAATATTACGGGACAACGCGTTATGCGAAATAGGTTGCACGTTACATGAAAAATTAGGCCAAATATTACTGCGCAGAGAAACGCTAAGGTGCTAATGCCGATCAGTACAGTAGTGACTTTTATGCACAAGTGTACGTTCTTCTTACAGTTTCAGCTTCTGCAGCGCGGTGGAATATTTTTATCAACATTCTGAGGAGCACACTAGTACTATTGTCTGTTGCGCTAGATGAAATTAAATTCTAACTGCATCTGATGAAAGGCATATCCTGCTATATAGCATATTCTCCTTGTATTTTGTGACCGAAAGTCTGAGGTCCTCTATACCACATCCTCAAACTGTGTCGTCAGATTGAAAAGCGTTCCTGCTCCACATCACTACGACTCGTTTAACTGGACGTTTCAGCCGCTTTATAGCGTAAGCTTCTTCAGCCCTGTAGGTGGTAAATTTGCCAATCTATATATTTATAGAAATGTCGCTTTGTGCTTCTCTTGTTTGGAAATTTTCCGTAATCCATAGCATTGCCTCCTTCAGACTCCCTGTCTCATTGAAAATTTGGTCTCCTCCACAGCATTGTTTCTTTGGTTCGTTTATCCTGGAAAATTTGCTCACTATACAGCAAATTTTCTTTGTGCTACATCTGATTGTTTGCCCCACTACACTGTATAGCACAGTCTTCTGGTGGAGTCTGCTTCCACGTGCTCCATCTGACAAAGATTCCCCTGCCTTGTAACATAATAGCAGTTGCCTTCAGCACCGTCCACTGCAAGATGTTCTCTCTTACGTATCACAGCACCTTGATCTTCTGGAAGAAGATGTCTTGTTATGTAGTACATTCTCCGTATGCTACGTCTATTAGAACTATTATAGCGTGGCGTTTTGGTCCCATTATGTTGGAACTCCTTCCCTGCTGGGTATTATTTCCACGCACTCCGCTACGTCTATTAGAAACTATTATAGCGTGGCGTTTTGGTCCCATTATGTTGGAACTCCTTCCCTGCTGGGTATTATTTCCACGCACTCCGCTACGTCTATTAGGAACTATTATAGCGTGGCGTTTTGGTCCCATTATGTTGGAACTCCTTCCCTGCTGGGTATTATTTCCACGCACTCCGCTACGTCTATTAGGAACTATTATAGCGTGGCGTTTTGGTCCCATTATGTTGGAACTCCTTCCCTGCTGGGTATTATTTCCACGCACTCCGCTTCATGGCATATTCTCCAAGTGCTCCGTCTTACTGAATCCTTGACCTGAGATGGAAACATCGACTCCTAGAAGCCTTCGGATTGAAATTCTGCCCAGCTCCCCCTGTACAATATTTCACTGACTGTATTTCTTGTTTTATAACACAGTGTCTCTGAGCCCCGTCCGAACGGACGTTTACCTTGCTCCATACCACAATCTGCTTGAAGGCTTTGTGATAGGTAAATTGCATGTTCTCTATATAAAGAACATAGCATATAGCACAGGTGTTTTCTCTGATTCATAGTTTGCTATGCTCTGTAGCATAATCACATTGAGCCCCGTCTGACTGAAGATTCTGTCGCCATATTGGATATTCTCAACGTGCTCCGACTGACAGAATGTTTGCCTTGCTTTTCGTCTGTTTTCTTTACGTCTTCTGGGGAAAAGTTCTACTTGTTCTGTGGCACAGCATTCTAACGCCTCGTGTGACTGGAAGCTTGGCTCGCACTCCAAGACAGTCTTCACGTAGCCTCGTCAGACTCAATTCTTGTAATTAAAACAGTGACAACCAAACCTTAGGGACCTGCACTTTAAAGGGACCTTCTGCGTGGTTTTTTCCTTCGAGAACAAGAATGTGGCATATGGAAAAGTTCCGTTTAAAGACATTTCAGAGCTCTTAGGTTTCATCATTACAAAGTGTCAGTGGTCAAAAAATTGATTCCTGCAGATCCAGTTGGGCGCATAAACATTTGTTGTTGGGGGTTACAATTTCTCCACTACGGAATTACCGAACCAACGTTTCTTTTCATGAGCGATGAAGCTCTGATTCATCTCAGTGGTTTTGTGAACGCCCAGACTAACCGTCACTGGGTCACCTGAAATTCCCACATAAAACATCCAATTTCATGTGTGGTGTGCCGCTAATGGCGGAGAAAAATTGGGCCCTTTTTATGATACGGTGAACTCAGAGCTTTGCATGAACAGTATTTTGGCAACGCTCTTTCAAATGTTCACTGAAAGAGAGAATCAATATGGGCATTTACAGCAGGACAACGCAAGAGCCCCAGGCATCACAATAGTCTGTGGTGGTCGTTCGTGAAATTTTTGGTGAATAGTTATTAGTCGGGGATTATGGGAGTCTCGTTCGCCAGATTTCTGCATGTGAGATTTTTATACTCGGAAACCTGCGGCAATAACAACAAGTGGAGGAAAAATCCACGCACTCAACAAGCCGTCCAGAATGAAAATATGAGTGCAATACGCAATATTACACAAGGTGAGTTTTAGCGAGTGTCCAGAATTTCCTTCATCGATGTCAGCTTTCTTATGATGCGAATGAACGCCATTTTCAACAGTCTACTTAAAGTACAGGTGGGTAAGACGAAATGTTAACGTAACATTAATCTGGAAGTTGCGACCGTGGCGGTAAGGTTTGTAGAACGTTCCCTGCTAATGCAACGGCTCTGGCCGGGAAAAGCCGCGCTTAGATCTCCCGTTCAGGTGCGGGTCACTTACTTTCGTTCCCACTGTATACATCCAACATGCTTAAAACAAATAGATATAAAGGAAATCGATACAGTAAAAATAATTAAGACCCACAGACATATAAGACATCTTCCGTGCGCTTCATCTGATTGAAAGTCTGCCCTGCTCTGTATGCTATTCTCTATGCGTTCAATGAACTACAGTTGAAGTCAGAATGGCAGAAATAAAATGTATGCAAGGGTACAGATCGTTTACAAGAAGTGCACAGCAAGAGAAATGAGAGATTTTTTTTTTCGTTCTGTATGAAGAACTAAGTTTTGCAGTTATAATAAGGTATGTGAAACAGGTCAGGTCAGTGAATATTTTAAAAAAGTCAGCTGATTTTATTACACATCTCTGTTTCGTTGTTTATGGAAACAACTCCATGGAGCAAAATATTTCTTCAGAAACTAATAGGAACTCAAGAAATCCCCCAGAATGTTCATTGCCGTGTATATGACAGCCCTCCATTGGACCCTACTCTCAACTAGAATAAGTTAACCCCCCTAAACCTTATATCTTTATAAATTTTAACATCTTCCACTGATCTAGGCCTCGTCTTCTAAGTGGTTATTTCGCTTCAGGTTTCCTGGCTACAATTCTTACATATTTCCAATTTCCCATATGTATATTACGCGTCCTAACCATTCTCACTCGACTGACCATCCTGACAATATATGTTGCAAAACTGAAATTATGACCGTCTTCATCATGCAATTTGTCCATCACGTTAAAAATGTAAATAAATTAAGAACGGCGTATAATTTAATATAATTTTACCCTCTACACTTCACAACTGAATACTTTTCCCCTTTGTACAAGCAGAGAAGCAGGAAAATTTTTATTTCATTTCTAAAGTAATTTTGTAATAATAGATTTACACATTTTGAAAAATCATCTAGACTAAACAATAATTACGTGTACAACTATGCTCTTATGTCCAGATCTTAGGTTCACCATAGTCTGGCAAGATAATGGTTAACTTCATGTTCTAATATTTCAGGAATTGTATTAATGACGAATTTACGAAATATGATAAACGCTGATGTTACGGAATTATTAACGTTTCAGCCCTGTGCTAGTTTCCCAGCATTTCTGGAAATCAACATACTCCGGAAACACAAACTTCTGGTTTCACGCAACTTCCACGTTGTTAAAACACGATAAATGAACGCTGCAGCAAGAGCTGCAAGTACTCTACTTAACGAAATTATTCAGTGTGGCAATGACTGTTACTAAACGTGTAGAGTTGGCGATTTATTTATACTTTAGTTAAGGACTCTTTGGATAATTCAGACTGAGTCGAGTGATTGGATGATAGTGAAAGATGAATTGGAAAGGAACTAACTAAGATTGGTACATACTTAACCTATAATTAACCTATGCCTAGCAATGTACAGAATCTCTGTCGTTGTAAGGAGATCCAAATGCTAAACAGTGCAACCTGGACATAATGCGAGTTCCGCGGGACAGGCTAAACATCTGCATTATAATGAAGATTACAAAACAAAACGAAAATGACTGCTGAACTTCAGAAACGTATCCTTTATGTTACACAGAAATAACAGTCATGAAAAGTATACAAAATAAGATAACAAATTCATCTTTAACACCTAATTCTTTGGAGATGAGCTCTTCTTAAGAAGCCGCCAGTTACGCAGCTGCTCAAAAATTTCCCAAAATTGTATGGAACTCGATGGTTCATTACCATGTTCGCAAGAACCCTCCACTGGTCCTTATTCTGAGCCAGATCAATTCAGTCCAACCCACCCCACCCTATATCTAAGATCCATTAGAATATACTTGCATCTACTTCTTGGTCTTCCTAGTGGTCTCTTTCATTCTGTCTTTCCCACTTACAGTAGTTGAGGTACTATATCAAATCTCGGCTGTTCAACGATCCGCATGATGTCGAGGTTGCAACACAGACACAAACACATATATGTGTGATTTTCAAATAAGTCAAATTTTTATGCCATGATGTTAGTCACAAAATGTTTGCTGTCGAATATTTTAAATTTCCAGACGTACATATTTGTGTCATAAAGTAACTAGATTCTGCTGAACTAACTGCGGTAAATTCGGCAAAATAAATTGACGTGATATATATGTTGGACATTTTACATCGTCTAGTTTTTGGTTAGAAAACAGCGTTTTGGAAGCTGACTCCGTTTCTGTCATCAGGCGAAAGTATGAAACGAGACGATAGGAATGTTCAACATACGTGCCAATTTAATGAAAGGCATTCGTCACATGTTACTTAACAGCAAAGGCACTTAAGCTGACTTACTTTGGCAGTGTCCGTAGTAGGCTACAGCTAAAGTAGAGCTCTTCCTGCGACAAGCTCGCTTACGCAGGCGACATATGCTTCTGTAGGAGCGTCCGTCGGTGCCGCACACGGGACCCTTGTGACGGCTTTTGCGGCAGTCCGGGGAGCAAACGCATTTGGGTCGTCCTCGACGTACCACGCATTTCTTACCTTCTCCACACTCGACTCCACTGCATGACTCTGCAACACATGATTCAACGTCTCTTGTGCAAGAGATACATATTGGTGAATGGACTACAGACGAATTACGGAGGAAATTTTAACATACCAGGTGCTATCGGAAAGTTCCCGGACTAACTATAAAAATGCTTGCCTAACTCAATCAAGTTTGGCTGCCATCTCCTTTGGGACTCATACAGAGATCCCACCGTTTTTGCCACGCTTCAAAAGCACAATGGAAGTCATTTTCCTCAATGCTGTAGAGTGCCGCTTGCAGTTCCTTTTCATGTCAGACGCTGTTTCAAAACGTCCCTTCAGTCTCATTTTCAATTTGGGGGAAAAAAAAAGCGAAATCACAGGAGGTTAAGTCTGACGAACAGGGAGGATGGGGAACGATAACCATGTTGTCGTTAGTCACAAACTCTGTGGTTTTCAGGGACGTGTGGGAGGGCGCATTGTCATGATAAAGGAGCAATGCGGTGTATGTTCAAATTTTCTATAAAGATCTCCAGGCAAGCTCCATAACTGATCCCAACGGTGTCTGCGAGCTCGTAGATTGTTCTACGACGGTCTTCGTGAATGAGTTCTCGATTTTTTTTCAACATTTTCGGTCGTTTTGGTGGTGCTTCGTCGCCCTGAATGTTCGTCATCTTCAACTGACACTCTACCGGCCTTGAAACGTGAATGTCATTCAGACACCGCTGTCCGGCTCAAAGAATGTTCTCCAAAAGCCTCACGAAGCATTTCAATGGTTTCGGTAGGGGATTTACCGAGTTTCACGCAAATCTTGATGCAGACACATTGCTCGATTTTGCCGTTCATCGCAGACAAAACGAAACACGAAGTCGAAAAAGCAGTAGTGTAAAAACAATGCGTGTTCGCAGCGCGATATCACGTGGCACACTGGTGCAATAGGCTTTCGGAAGTGTGACCTTGGCCTCCTTTCTCATTTTCTTTCACCGAGGCAGTTACAACAGCAATAGTCCGGGAACTTCCGATACCACCTCGTACAACTCAAGAGAAGACGAAACATAGGGCGCCCATGGTTAAGAATGGAGGGACCAACATACTCTTCAAGAGGATGGAACAGACAAAGCATGGCCTAATCCATGACGATAATGATGACATATTTGTGACAACTGCTATGGGGTACATGCAAACAAATAGAAATGAGGCTTAAAATTGTAAATATTAATGCATCGCATGTCACACTTGAAAAAACTAACGTAATAGTCACAACTATTACGAGGTACATGTAAGCAAGATGTCCACGCGTCTTAACATTATGAGAAGTTTCACGCCTCTGTAAGATCCGTGAAAATTATTGCTTTGTCCGCCACTGTAATTCTTGCAGAGTTGCCTGCTGTTTGAAAGTCAGCTGACTGAAACACATTTTACTTAAATAGACTTTAAAGGTATTCTGAAGATGGTGTATGCTGTACAGAACCATTAGGCTTATTTTGGACTCTATTCATCGTCTGGTATATAGAAGACAAAAAACCACAACGTTTCGGAGACTGGATCTGTCTCCGTTCTCAGGTGGATGGGGCAGGATAAACCTATTCACTTGGGCCCGTTAGAAAGAGCTAGTCTCAATCACTGGACGTTGTGGTTTTATGTCTTCTATATACCAGACGATGGATAGAGTCGAAAACAAGCCTAATAGTTCTGTATAGCATTTTACTTCTTCGGGAATGAAGAGATGACAATAACACTTTCGCCCTTTGGCGTTTCTTTCTCCTTCCCTCAGGTTATGAGTCTTCCAGTTTCTGCAGGCATGAACTCATGGCCTGTTCTCGTTCGTTTGTTTGTTATTTAGCGAGGCTGTAAGTGTCAAGACTACACAGCATCGATAATAGCACAATTAATTAATATAGAACAGTGAGAACTGACAATGGAGACCCAAGTACTGGGGGAAAGCCACCCTAATGCCACTCTGTCTACCATAAATCCCACACGACCTGAACTGGGATCTAAACCAGTGGGAAGCTGCAAGTAACTGCCTCAGCTATAGCAGGGCCATCATGACATCTTACATTTACACATCAGGTTCCTGGGCGAGCTGCTTTGTCTCTTCGGCGTACAGTTCAGGCTTCCCACTCACGAAACCTCATTTCCAGTTGGCTAGAAGCTAGGAAAGTAGTGGAATACTGCAACACTGATTGTTTTTTTTATTGCTAGTGGGATGGGACTAAGTCCCTTGTACTGCGGCCACTTCTGGCCTATTGTACCAGCCCCAGATGATAGGTGAGGGTGATTGTGGAGCAATTGGTGGAATGAAGATTGGAGGGGGAAACCGAAGTACTCGGAGAAAACCTGTCCCAGCGCCACTTTGTCCACCACAAATCCCACTTGACCGGACCCGGGAAGAAACCCGGGCCGCCGCGGTGGGGAGTCAGCGACTAACCGCTTGAGCTCATTAACTTATTTACACAAATTAGTGCATTTGTATGTATTAAACATGCCTTCGAGCTATAACAATACTAGGATAATTACTTTAGAACACTGGTCATATCAGTCAGTGGATAACATAGTCTGAACCACAAGCTTCTCACTGTCTCGTTTCAATTACAACCTTTCTAATTTATTCGTCATTTTGAAGCCGGTGTTCAATTATTCTTATTCAAACTATTGATATAATTGCAGGGTTTTATTTTCGTAAACTGATTTCAAAATGTCTTTAACTGTAGTCTTCGTATCTTTCGGGCAACCCAGTCTTTAATTCGGGATATTACTTCTAGTGGATGGAGGCCGGGGTGGTACAGACAAATTTGTGTTCCTCAGAACCTCATCCACAGCAAATATATTGAGCTTTCTGACCCCCTTGCAATTTCGTGAGGCTGTTTCTCTCTGGAGAAAAGTCCGAGAGTTCGGCTACATAACACCACCAACCGGACTGTACCAGCTGCCAACCGCAAGAACCGAACCATGTACTCACCCAAGTCACGCAGGCAATGAACTCTAATTTCTTTCAAACGGTTCAACCTGTATGATGGGTACTGTAACATAATTATAGGATCTTTCGACTAGAAGGTAGGAACACATTACGCGGGGTCTCAATTCCACCATCAGAAGGAGCTTTTGGAACCAAAATATCTTCACGTTGGTATTAACGAATGCTCTAGATAACCGCGTTAAACACACCACGAATTCTTTTGCCTTTAATGTGTACGAAAAGTCTAGAAAATATTATAATAATTATCATACCGTATGATCTTTCAACTTGGAGGTTCGGACATCTTATGTGAGGGCTCGAGTCTTCCATCCAGCTGAGTCCTTGAAATTCAGGAATCAATCCGTCTAGACGCTGTTGCTGAGACAAATTCACACAGCCGGATGTCCAGCAACAGCAAATTCTGTCCTGTTTATAGCAAAATTGCAGCGGTTTCACATAGATTTTCAAACACTAACCACGCATTTAATTTAGAAAGCCAATATGTTGGTAAAATAGGAGTCAGGATAGCTCAGTCGGTATAGCGACGGGCTACGGGTTCGACTCCCGCCAGCGCAAGATTTTTCTCCCCTGTACGTGGTCTAACTGGCTCTGGGGCCCACTCAACCACCTATCCAACTGGTGCTGCGAACAATTTCCCCACGGGTAAAGCGGCCGGAATGTGAAGCTGACTACTGACCTCTCTGTAATGCCGAGATCAAGAAAGGTGGAGCTATATCTCCACTTCTCCAGATGTCTTCATGGCATAGTACTTACCTAATTAAGCACATGAACAGCGTTATCTTTATTATATGCTGATAAAACACTACACTTATTTTGCGGTTTTCCTTTAACCAGGATTAAAGACCCCAACGATAAATTGATGATTAATACGATGACCAACAAGAATGCAAATTCATTACCGAAGTAGCAAGAATTTCCCACAAGTTGTAGGCATAAGTTACCTCCTAAATTTGTTCTGCTTTCTACTGTACACAGTGATACAGCCCCACACTACTGCAAGAGCATTACACCTTACAACACGGAACTGGACAATAAGTCAGTCGAAATTACCTCCAGCTTCCTCTCGCACAATTTGTCCCCACATTTTCACATATGCCCCTTAAAATCGACTTATTTATTTATTTATTTACTTATAACTCAGAATATATCATCGAATGTTTGGGCCGTAGTAGATAATTAATTGGAAATGATGTGGAAGGCAACAGTCGTGGTCCATTTTGCATTTGCCTTGAATGGCTGAGGAGAACCAAGAAAACCTCAGTCAAGGTCAGAAGCTTCATCGCTTGATCCTACATCCACAACCTTAAAAACGAGATACGCCAGAAGTACGTCTTGCAGCTGCCATGTTCGCTGTTAATACTGAGGTCTTCATGGCAGCGACGTTTAAGATTGTGGTCTTGCAGACGGATACCGACGCCTCCGTCACAAACCCTGAAACTATAGGCAGCATGATCCTCCGAAAAGTCGGTTTCCGCTTAAAAGACAACGCGGTATAAAACCCAGAGGATCAGAGTCTCTATCACATTTGTACTGCAAACAGCCTTTCGCTCCACAACATGGCCACTGCTATGCAGGCGAGGTCTGCTATTAACGCTTACGCAGCAACAGTAGGAGTCGGCCTATTTCTTATCTTCTTCGGAAACCTTTCTCGATTTTGTTCGTTTTTTTTCTCCTTGTCACTACAGCCCCAGTGGGCCTAGGCCTACCGCCGTGAACTTCTCCGTTCACCTCGGTTTTTCTCGATCTTACACATTCGGTAGGACTCCTTGGGCGGGTGATCAGCTCGTCGTAAGGCCTCTACCTGTACACAAACAGAGGAAAACGCACACACACAAATTAAACATCCATGCCCTGAGTGGGATTCGAACCCACGATCCCGGTTTCCAAGCGAGCGAAGACAGTACATGCCTTTTGTTCGTTTATTGTGACAGAATTCAGAATTCGTCTCTAAATAAGACGGGTATTACCTCGAACACAACGCATCACAAAACCGAAAATGTAATTTAATAAAAAGTTGCATCGTAGCGTCATATTGAGTGGGGGGGGGGCAATTTGTATTATTTGGCACCATCAACACAATTATTTGTGATTGTAAATTTATAGCGTTTGGTGTATATACACAAATAATTGTGTTAACAAAGCCAAATAACAAATAATTTCACTAGAATCATAATTTTTGCCTGATATATTTCCCATGTCCGTTAAAATAGTCACTGATGGGAAGTGGTAATTCAAACTGAAATGTATGTACAATACTACTATCTCTTGGTATGTGACGCCTTACAATCTGGTAGAAGTTTAATGTTATTTCGGTGTAATATGCTGTTTCTATCTTCAGGATCGAAAAGAAAGCCGAGCAAGCAAACCAGCAGGTGGCAAGCATCATTTCAAGATATAGTTAAGATGAAAGTAAATTTGTTCATGCGCTTATTAGGCATTACAAAATGAAAATGTATGGGGAGTATATATAGCACCGTCATTGTCGCATTAGGCACTGGAAGACGATACTCTTCAGTCACGGCCGTGAGAACCTTATGTGATACTATCAGCTTGCAGGCTGCAAAGCTGCAGTATTGAAAGCTGCTCTAATATTATTATTAAATTTAAACTCGACAAAATAAACCTCGTCTTAGGCGTCATCCAGTCGTACTACAAACAAAATTCACTTGATTACGTCATTCATAAGTGCTGAATCATATCGCGAATACAGACAAGCCATCTGAACCTTCAGAGCAGACAGTGGGTCGAGATCATAACCAACGTTGTGAACAATATTTCAGACGTCGTGGTCAAGAAAATTAGATGTCCAGACGACCAGCTGGGATGAAGCTCCGGCGTGGGCGAGCTTGTCTACCAAGACTGCAAGGCTGCAATTACAGGATAATTTCTTGCTTTTGTAAGCAAGGCTACGAATATTTTTATTTTTCCCGACGTCAGATCGATGTCAGCGCTGGAATGAGCGGTAGTACATGTAGTACGTAGGTGTTTCTATCCTCAAATAATTCAAACTGCCGAGAAACGCTGGCAGAACTGTAAATTTACAGGACCCCTCATCATTACGTGCTATATTTTACTGGATGATTTCTGGACATCAAAATAAGTATGACAGGTTATCACGATTTAGGGATTTTGCGAGCGACTTATTAAACGGGTTTTGGATTGGATGATTGGATTTACTGCACTTTATACACGTTCACAGCTCAGGACTACAGGCAATACAACGCTATCGCTGATCTACACACCTTACAGTCCACCGTTACACACGCACTAGAATTCTCAGTCTTAACTAGTCTTCAGAACTTGACCCAGTTCTCGACAACAACTAACTCAAATGAACTCTTCTCAAACTGATCTCTCTCAAATTTTGACAAGAACTAATTTTTCTAAACTGAACCCTTCTTTATAACCATTTTGCATGGACTACGCAGAAATCACAGCCTCTATTGTTAAGGAGGCGTGTTTACTGATTCGTTGCCTAGCAATGGACGTCCTATTGTTGCGCGAGTTTGCTTCCGCGGGAATGTCTTTACCGAGTCGTTGTCTAGCAATGGATATACGCGTCAGAGTTCATATGATTATGTAAGCTGAGGACCTTCCTTGTAAGGCGACAGGTGTTCTAATTTCAGTTTCAATGGTCCCATGATTAATACTTCCTGGACTGTGTACGATTATATGAAGAAAACAAACAAAAGAGCTATTAGTAAACTCTTCCTTTTTACTTTCTTAAAGCAAGTGCTCGAAACGGCATCCGTGGTCACGGATACCCACCTCAGTTCTGCGTCAAAGTGGAACCTGCAAGCGTGTGAAGATTTCAGGTGTATTCTTTATCTCACTTGAACATTAAGTTCACCACACAGGTCCTCTCTCTCTCTAAACAATAATGTGCCCGCACAAAACTTGGTTTTCAAATATCCCCAGGGAAATATCGAGAGAATTCAAGTCAGGTGAGCATTCAGGGCAGGAAACTGGAGTTTTACGTCCGAGACCAAATCCAGGGTCCAGGATAACTTCCGGAAAGTCACTGACGCATTTCACGACAATAATGTGGTGTTGAAACCGCACGTGAAGACGCCCAATGAAGGTAACATCTTTCACTAGTCCATTTAAGTGTGTTCAAAGGAAAGTAAGATAATTACAGCCACTAACTCCTTCTGGTAAAATGTAGGGGCCTACGAGGAAGTCACCCAAGATTGATGAAAACTGTCATTGCCGATGGTGAGACCAAATCACATGAGATATTCAGCTGACCACACGTGTTCATTGTGAATGCTGGTGATCCAAATCCTAATGCAGTATAATCTGTCCATAAATAAACCCTTTAGTGTAAACACAGTCTTCGTCCGACTGCTCCAGAATCCAGAATCCTTTTGACAGAATGTCACCCCACCTTTGCAGGCGTAGCAAGGCACGCCTCCGCCTAACACTCTCCAAAAGAACAAAGTGCCAGCGTCCAAGTCTTCAGAACTCCAGGCCGTCGCGACGTGGTCAGACGCACAGCATTCCTCCTTGCTAACCTTCTCATTCAGCAACTCGGTGCAGCGGCCGCTGCGTACCATGGCGGACCAACAGTTCCCACCTGTAACATGGAAAACATCGCCATGTAGTGTTTGTCTTCTTTATCCTCAACATTCTCAATTCAATGGACAATAGATTTGGTCGAGTCCACTGAGATAAGAACTGTACGTGTGTGTGTGTGTGTGTGTGTGTGGCCCTTAGTTGGAGTCCGTCACACTCCACCCTTCTCTCCTTCCCACTCACCATACATCCCCATCTTCTCATATCATTCAAAACTCTATAATCTACAATTTGAAACGGCGCTGTTAACGTGAGTTATCTAGAAAGATCGGTTTCCCGGAATTCGCCTGAAACGTCTAAGGAAAATGCAAAAATATTTCAGTCAGGTTAGTCGTGGTCTCTCACAAGATTCGAACAGGGTGTGTATGAAATGCATGACGTACGTATCACCTGTTTCTCAGTCTGGCTGTTGCACGTGTTGCCGATATCCAGGGGGGGGATAAATGCCGCATAATCCAGGCCACACAGGCACCTAGAACAAGGTAAGTATTTCGTAACTTAGCGTGACTCTCTCTCTCTCTCTCTCTATGGCTCTGCAGACCTTTGGATCTTGGCCGCTTTTTCAGTTTCTTAATCCTATACGCAGTCGGAGGACTCTTTCGACGAGGGATCAGCCCGTCGCAAGGCCGTTGTCTACACATGACAACACACAAACACAGAATAGACGCCTGCAGACGTCCATGTCTCGAGTGGGATTCGAACCCAAGATCCCAGTGTCCCAGCGGGCGCAAACGGTTCATGCCTTAGAATGCGCGGCCACTGTGATCGGTGCCTTAGCATGATTAACATTCCTGAAAATGGACATTTCAGTCCCTGCTTATGGGATTGCAACATGTGGACACCAGAAATTATGAACTTCCTTACCGTTTATTTTTCATTGAAGCTAAACGCAGAAAAATTGGCAGTTCACCCCAAAAGACGAAAACAGCGAATGTGCTGCGATCTATCACAGATGCATGTGATGAGCCTACAATCTGATGCTAGACAAGTATCATCTTCGAGATATCATTTCTAGGTGTATTAGGGCGCATTCTGACGGATTAAATCAGAATTTCCTGCATCTGCGAACACAGTCGATCCATAGTAACCCTACGTTTTAGTGACCTTGCTGTTATTATTGTTATAATTATTAATATTATTTCACTCTAGTCAGTCTCTTATACTTCAAAATTAACTCTGATATAATTAAACTTTTCAGGCGACTCGTGATAACGGCGATGATAATACCGATAATAAATCTTAGCGCTACAGCCTGCACTCGAATGTTGACATCCGCTTCAGAGGATTTCTAAATAGTTAGCCAAATTGTGTACGGGCCTCACCACCGCCACTGGACAAACAACTGACAAAACCATGATCAAACATCATTGTTCCGAGCGGGATTCGAATGCAATTGCAACTCCACACCGCCCTCACCTTAAACACTGCAGCCGCTGTGATCTGTTCCGTTTTAGTATTATCTTCTTAGCTAATGATGTTTATCTTTCAGACTTTATTATGTCTTATGAACTTGTGCGTATGTTCGTCTCTCTTACGGCGCGGCGTTATCGATCCAGTCAATGAAGAGACCAACAGCTGAAAGATTCGGCAGTCTACTCGTTACGTCACAACTTCATTCATGGTTTTACCCGGCGCGAGAGAGAGAAAGAGAGAGAGAGAGAGGGACCGCGTGACTGGTAAGTACGGCGTAGTAGTAGTAAACATCCGTGTACGACAGCCAGTTGTGGAGAGGGGAGGGGCACACCAGACGCAGTTCCTCTTCGTCGCAGACGATGACGCAACACAAGGGTCGTCAAGGAGGAATGGGAAATTTGGTGCACAAACAGTTCCCAAGGTCTGGAGTGAAATACGTACAACAACGTGAGAAGTTTGTTAGAGCAATTCGCAGAAGAATGGGCATCTGTACAGGGAATTTAAATCGTCATAAACACGCAAAATACGTGCGCTGCAAAAATATTATTTTCTGTGTTGTTTATATGAAGTTGATTTAACGACACTGCCAGTAAATCAAGACAATACAGCATCAAATGGGTGCATGGTCGTGAATAATGAAGCGAAAAGGTGTGGAAGGAAGCAGTTGTAACATAATCTTCAGTTACTATATCAGCGTTTGTCTGGAAGAACTGAAGAAAACCCACCAAAACCACAGTCAGCATAACCGAAGTCACAGCCAAGATTTGAAAAGTACACCCTCAAAACGCAAACCAGAAGAGTTGGCCCACCGATTTGGCCAGTTTGCTCCGTAATAGAGCCAACTGCCGATCACAGTGGCTGCCCGGACTAAGGCATGAACTGTCTTCGCTCGCTTAAACACTAGGGTCATGGGTTTGAATCCCACTCGATGCATGGATATCTATCTACGTATATTCTGTCTTTATGTTGTCATTTGTAGGTAGCGGCCTTGCCGCGAGCTGATCCCCCTCCCATGGAGTCCTACCGATTGTCTGTATGATTAAGGAACCGTAAAACACAGGTCGAGGTTCATAATGAACTGTTGGGCCTACAATTCATTATCAATATAGTCAATTATTTAAACAAAGATCTCGCAACAGATAAAATGTTGGGATGAAAATGCATGTAGAATCCAAAATATACAGCAAACTCTCGATAATCCGGATTAATTGTGGGGTGGGTAGGTCGTCTGGATTAAGCGATGATACAGATTAGTGAAGCAAATGGTAGCCCTAAAAGACAAAAAAAAAAGTTAAACGCCAAAATTTAATCTTGTAAGCAGTGCTGATGAACACGAATAAAACAATATCACTGTAGAACTTTATTTAAAAACTACAAAAGGACATTTATTCATCAATAGAAGACTCAGAAGTGGTACTTATTTTTTAATGAAAAAAATGCAGGTTTGAAGAAAATGTCAAGTTTCATCTGAACAGACACGTGACTCATCTGCCTTCCTAAATGTCACATGTCGTTTAAAGTATGTACTCAAGCGTGAACAGCCTTTTTCATATTTCGCTCCGGATTACCGGAGGGTAAACCCGGGAGGGTTTGCTGTATATCTCTCTCGGCCTCCATAACATTGCAACCAACACGAGTTTGTTTCGGAAGTCAAACATGGATTATGAGAAAGGATGACGAACGCGGAATTTCTTGGGTCGGTACTGAGAGTAAGGATGTGGAGCAGACTTCGGAATGTATAAACACGAAGCAGACTACAAGTCTACAAACACAGTCTGCGACGTACAAAGTGCCAGTTAAACTGTCTACAACGGATTTCCGGTTGTAGACACAACATATGTTTCTAGGAAACATGTGAACAGTCAGGATAGGGCCAGAGTTAGGTCCAACGGAGGCCGCGCCATAGCTCAAGCGGTTAGTCGCTGGCTTCCCACCGCGGCGGCCCGGGTTCGATCCCGGGGTCTGGTCAAGTGGGATTTGTGGTGGACAAAGTGGCACTGGGGCAGGTTTTCTCTGAATACTTCGGTTTCCCCTGCCAAACTTCATTCCACGAGTTGCTCCACAATCACCCTCACCTATCATCTGGGGCTGGTACAATAGACCAGAAGTGGCCGCAGTACAAGGGACTTAGTCCCACCCCACTAGCAATAAAAAAATAGGTCCAAGGGAATTCCTAATACACGGTATCAAACCGAAGGCAAATAGAAAGAGCAGTCCGCAATGTTTCTGAAAAGAACAATCAAAACAAGAGCGAATTACATCAGATTTCTTTGCTTCTCAACTGATTTAATAACACCGCCCAATTTAAGCTTTTTCGAGGCAAATACATACGTGAACATTCAACCTGATATGCACATGAAACATCACTAAGCAAAATTCTGATAGCGTCAGCGGCCGCTGTTAACTGCAAAAAGTACGTTATTTGTCCGCATGATCTTTATCGGCAATAAGGTCAGATCATTTAAAGAAAGTAGTACATGTGTCGATGTGTCGATGTGTCGATAGATGGGTCTAGTGATCAGAGTCCCTGCCTACAGATCCAGAGGTCTGGGTTCGATTCCCGGCGCTACCAGATTTTCTGAGAAGTAGTGGGTCTGGAACGGGGTTCACTCAGCCTCGTGAGGGGAGTAAAGCGCGGCCGGCGCGTAAAGCTGACAAACTTACCGCCATCTTTGAGCCGATTGTCTAGATAATGAGGGAGCCTCAACGTCTCACAAACCCTATGGGCCTTCACGGCCTGGTATAGGGATAGTTTTACTTTTTTTTTCTTTTTACTTGAATGGAAAAGTAGCGGCTCCGGTCTACAAACCCGAAATTAACGGCCGTGGGGATTCGTTGCCCTAACCACGCGACACCTTCTATTCGCTAAATTTGGCACTAACTTCGCCGACAAGCGGCGGTCGCTCGGTCGGTATAGTTCGCTTGCGAACTCAAGCCACGGAGTTTGTTTGTTTGTTTTAGTACATGTGTCGATAGTCGGCGTGCTGAGATCAAATCTCACGCATCAGAGAACGGTTCAAAAGATACAGTTTAAACTTAAATGGGATAAAATCGAATTTTTCCACAAGCAATGCTCTTAAATATTGTGTATTACTAGAGCCATAGAGTTCTTAGTACTGTGTTCATCTGCAATGTCAGCACGTTCCAAAATACGAGTATAAGCAAAAGGGTGTCCCAAAATAAGTTAACAAATAAAGTAAAAAAAGTAAATGTATCCCTGTAACAGGCCGTGGAGGCCCATAGGGTTGTAAGATGTTGAGGTTCCCACATTTTCTAGAGAATCGGTTCATAGATGGCGGCAAGGTTGTCGGCCCTACGCGCGGCTCGCCCTTTACCCCCAAGAATATTTCAAGAATATTCCTGGTACTCATTTCTGTTAGAGGCTGAGTCGAACCAGACTTAAAAATTACGAGTAGAAATCTGTTTCATTTCGTCAATGTGAGTCGTGATGTGTGCGCTGTGCTACTGTGGTGTTTGTTGGTTGCAAATCGAGATGTCAGTGCATTCGCGCCCCAGAGAATATACACCCATATATTTGACTCCTTCATCTTCTCCTTCGGCGTTTTCTAACTACGCTACTTTTGAAGT